ATATATATATATATATATATATATATATATATATATATTACAATATACAGTAAGTTGCTTTGTATATGCTATAAGTATAAATATATACAGATTGTGAGTGTGCAGACTATGAACAGGTTATAAATATGAAGGGGTATAAACAAACTATTTAAAATAAAAAATATATATATTTAAGTATGTGAGTACTTATGAACAGTAGGTAGTAGATTATGTGTACAGTTTGTACAGTAGTGGGCTAACAGATAAAAGTGTATGTGGTGGTGTTTCAGTCCATGTGTTGTTGTTGTGTGTATGAGAATACAGGCCATTGTTGTTGTTCAGATGTCAGGAGGCAGAGTTCAGGAGTGTGACAGCTGTGGGGAAGAAGCTGTTCTGGTACCTGGTGGTTTTAGTCTGGAGGCTCCTGTATCACCTCCCAGAGGGCAGGAGGGTGAAGAGTCTGTGTGCTGGGTGGCTGGAGCCTTTGATGATTTTCCCAGCCCTTTTCAGACACTGCTTCCTGTAGATGTCCTCTATGGCAGGAAGTGATGCTCCGGTGATGTGTTGGGCAGCTTTCACCACCCTCTGCAGTGCCTTCCAGACTGAGGCAAAACAGCTCCTGTACCAGACTGTGATGTAGTTGGTCAGAATGCTCTCAATGGTGCAGCGGTAAAAGCTCACCAGGATGTCTGAGGACAGGTGGTTCTTACGCAGAGTCCTCAGAAAGAAAAGGCGCTGGTGAGCCTTCTTGACCAGCTTGTAACAGCCGGTCTTCCAGGTGAGATCCTCAGAGATGTGGACAACCAGGAACTTGAAGCTGTTCACATGCTCCACTAGGGGTGCACTGATTGCAGTTTTCTGGCCGATCACCGATTTCTAAAAAGTTTGACCTGCCGATTCCGATTTTGGCCGATACCGATTTTGTTTTATAAACGATAATGTCAGATGTTATAAGGTCACAACGCATCTTCAATTTTCCAATATTACAAAGTATTTTATTGAAAAACATACCCTTGATCAATATCCTAGAAACAATACAAACTTGTTTTAACTGGCCATGAAGTAGTGCTCTGAAATATAAATGAAGTTAAGACAATTGTTGTTAAAACTAAAAAAATCTGTAAAATCAGTTTCTCATGCAAGTATCGGCTGATTTCTGATTTCCCAAAATTAAGGAAATCGGGCCCTATGCTCCACCACCGTCCCCTTGATGTAGATGGGTGGATGTGGGCCAGTGTTCCTCCTGAAGTCCACGATGAGCTCGTTAGTCTTCTCAGTGTTGAGCAGCAGGTTGTTGGTGTCACACCACTCAGCCAGACGAACCACCTCCTCCCTATAAGCGGTCTCATCATTGTCTTTGATGAGGCCGATCACTGTGGCGTCATCTGCAAACTTAATGATGGTATTGGAACCATCGACAGGTTTGCAGTCATGGGTGAAGAGGAAGTAGAGGAAGGGACTCATCACATAGCCTTGTGGTACACCGGTATTAATAGTGATGGTAGATGAGCAGTGGTTATCCGCCAGACATGTTGGGGTCAGTTTGGTCAGAAAGTCCAGTAACCAGGTGCACATGAGAGAATTGATGCCTAAGTCTGTGAGTTTTGTGATGAGTTTTGAGGGGATGACTGTGTTGAATAGAATAGAATAGAATAGAATAGAATAGAATAGAATAGAATAGAAACAGCCTTTATTGTCCCACAGATGGGAAATTCCAGTGTATCAGCAGCAACAGATAAAAAGATTTAAAGATTTAAAGATTTCACACAAAAGTTCCTAAATGTTAATAAACAACACAATATATAAGAAATAAGATAAACAATATCAATAATAATGTTCAATATCCTGATGCATGCTCAATTATCCAGGTAGAAAAATTTGGAAACATTGTAAGTGACAGAGTTAATCATGCTAACAATAGGT